AGGCCCCTGCCCCATTCCCTGCCCCCCTGAGCCGGCCAGTCCGCGCCGTGGGGCCGGATGGGAGCTGGCGCCCCCCAGAGGGGACAGGTCCCGGCTTTGGGTCTCCTGCAGGGGTCGCTGGGTGGAAATTCAGCCCTTCCCCCCTCTAGCCCCCCGCCTGCCCTGGCCTCCCCCGAGGGCTCGTCCCGAGCGGCCCCGGGGGCAGATCTGGAAGCACAGGCTGTACCGGGCCGGCAGGACGCCTGGCAGCCACAGGGCCCCTGGAATGGACAGATGGATGGACGGAGGCGGGGGGGGGAACGTGACTCACGCTTGGCCCACACCCCACGGTCACTCCCTCCTTGTTGTTGTTTCTCTAATGACATGGAAGAATTCTGCTGGCTCCGAATCCAGCCCGAGCCTGGGACGAGGCAGCCAAGACTCCTGGGTTCTACCCTGGCGGGGGCGCTGAGAGCCAGGACTCCTGGGTTCTACCCTGGCGGGGGGCTGGGATCCAGGACCCCTGGGTTCTACCCTGTGTGGGGGGCTGGGATCCAGGACCCCTGGGTTCTACCCTGGTGCGGGGGCCGGGAGCCAGGACTCCTGGGTTCTACCCTGGTGCGGGGGCGCTGGGAGCCAGGACTCCTGGGTTCTACCCTGGTGCGGGGGCCGGGAGCCAGGACTCCTGGGTTCTCTCCCTGCCTCGGGGAAGGGAGGGGGTCTAGTAGGTCAGATCTCGGGACGCTGGGAGCCGGGCGTCGTGTTCTGGCCCAGGTGGGTGTTTTGCTAGATGAAGTCTCTGATCAGCCCGTGACTCAGTAAGTGTCGGGGGGCCCTGGGGAGCGGCCCCGGGGTTGGGTGTCTAGCCGGGCACTAGCAGGTGCGGAGGCTGACGTGCTGTAGCAGGGCCCCCAGGAGGTTTCTTGCGTGTCTGTGTGTTTGTTTTCTCCCTTGCAAAAGAATTCCGTGTCCGTGTGAAGCAGCCGTTAATCACGGGGCCGGAGCCGAGGGGGCTGGGCCGCCCTGCACCCAAACACCGCCCGGTCCAGCAGCCTCAGGCCAGGGAACCCAGCCTGGCTGGCCAGGAGCCCCTGTGTGACGGAGCCTGCCCGTAGGGGGCACTGCTGAGCAGAGCAGCACGCAGACCGAACCCAGGCATCCTGGCTCCTGTCCCCCATCCTCTGACCACTAGACCCCACTCCCCTCCCAGAGCCGGGAGAGAACCCAGGAGTCCTGGCTCCCAGCCCCCCCCTGCTCTAACCCACTAGACCCCACTCCCCTCCCAGAGCTGGGAGAGAACCCAGGAGTCCTGGTTCCCAGCCCCCCCTGCTCTAACCCACCA